TGTAGAAGACGGCGCCCTGAAGGCGTCTGCGACAGTCGATTGATTTGGTTAACGCGATGAGCTTCGTGCATCTCTGCAAAGGTGTTGTGTACCCCCAGAGCTGCGAATCGGCTGTTGGAAGTTGCAATAGGTAGGTCCAGAGCGCGTTTGTATACTGAACGAAGAAGGACGTCCAGCTGGTGCTCGTGTCGACGGCACAGGCGAAGGTAAGGCAAGGCGTAGAGGACGCGACTGGTCACAAACGCGCGGGCCAATCGGAGGGACTGAGACCCGCGGAGGCCGCCGTGCTTGGCAGAAACTCGCCGTATCATGCGGCTCACCTGTTCGCTGGTGCGTCTGAGGCCTGCTATTGTGCCCTTTGGATCCAAGGACGATGTGAGGTGAAGGCCAAGAACCCGAATATTTTGCACTGACGGGACGGGCCCGGACGGAAGAAAAATTTGAGGCGGCAGTAGCGGAGAGACTGAAAGAAGAGCCGATTTAGCTGGAGAGCACTCCAGGCCGCATGAACCTGTGTAGGTGTCCACCAGAAGGGCAGCCTTTTGCAGGCGTTCTTCGATTTGCGCTAAGGAGCCGGTGTTGGTCCAGATTGTGATATCGTCCACATATAGTGCGTGTTGTATTCCCTCGACCTCGCTTAGAAGAGAGAGGAGGTTCATCATCGCCAGGTTAAAAAGCAGAGGAGACAGGACTGCCCCTTGAGGTGTACCCCGCGTGCCTAATAAGTACGGGCCGGGTTCGGTAGAATTAAGGCAAATGAAGGCGGTGCGATGTGATAGAAAGGCGCGAATGTAGTTGAAAGTCTTCTGCCCGCAGTTTGTGGTAGACAGGTCAGTGAGTATAGTGCTGTGTTTGACGTTGTCGAATGCCCCGCGGAGATCGAGAGCGAGCACGGCTTTATCGTTATGGCGCATAGTAGTCGGCTCTATGATATCGTGTTGAAGCTGGAGCAGGACGTCCTGCGCCTACAGATGCGGGCGAAAGCCAAACATCGTGTCGGCAAAGGTCCTCCTGGCCTCCAAGTAGGCGGAAAGGCGTTCGCGAACCATGGTTTCCATGAGTTTGCCTTGCCTGCGCAAGACGTAAGTGAGATGGGTCTCAGTGCCTCAATACTAACGGACTTCGCCGATTTGGGTATGAATGTCACGACCGATGTGGTCCATTCCGTTGGAAGCGGAGAGCCGTCCCATATCGAATTTATAAGGTGGAGTAGCGAGAGGTGTGCTTGGTCGGGAAGATTTGCCAGGAGCGATACTGTGATTCCGTCGCGTCCAGGGGCCGTGCCCCGTCGCATTTTCGTGAGTGCAAATTGTAAATCAGAAAGCGTGTATGGGGCGTCGAGGTCGGTGTTAGGGGCGCCAGAATACGAATATGCTGGGCCTGCGGGATCAATTGTGCGGCAGATGTAGTGGTCACAAAGTTCTCGTGCGAGTTCATCCATAGTGCCCTGAAAGGCATGCAGAGCACGGTGGAGCTGGCGTTGCGTTTCTCCCCTGGTGGTGGAGGGATCGAGAAGGTTTCTAAAGAGTGGCCACGCACTCTTATCAGCAGCCTTCGAACAGGTGTCTGCCCAGTTAGCATCGGAAAGTTGTACAGAGTATGCGGCCGCCTCTGCAGTGAGCGCCTCAATGCGAGCGCGAAGTTTCCGATTAAGTTTGTTGCGTTTCCAGCGCCTTACGCGCCCGCGGCGAGCGTGCCAAAGATGTAGGAGGTGTGGATCGATTGCAGGAGTCAAATTAGAGGTTGCAAGGGTGCGAGGGTTCACTTGTTTCATATGGAGGGCGTATGATGCCACGCTGCATATTCGGTCGAGGAGAGAGCGGCGGGGAATGGTTGCATTCTGAACTGAGTCCAATCAGCGAGACGGGCTTGGCCCCAGTGTTGGCGCATTTTCTGCCATAGTGTGAACGAAATGCGGAGTAAAAAGTGATCACTGCCTAGGGTTTCGTCTAAATTTTCCCATGTAGCATCGCGGATGTGACGGGTGAGGGAGAGGTTGGGGCATGTGTCTCGCGTGACCGAGTTGCAGGAACGTGTGGTTTGTGCCAGGTCGGTAAGAAGCGTCAGGCTCAGCGAGGAAATGAGCTCCTTGAGCTCTCTACCCCGGGCCTTCTCGTAGTGGTAACCCCAGTGAGGGCTGGGGGCATTAAAGCCCCGACAATCACCAGTGGTTGTCGGGCCGCTATACGCAGCGCCCGATGAAAGAGATGCGCAAACGAAGCCCACGCAAGGCGAGGGGGACAGTACACGTTTAAGATATGTATTGATGGTTGGCCCCTCCGCTGAGACAGCACTGATATCATGCAGTAGTCGTAAGGAAGATCCAGATCGAGGTCAATCTGTATCGCCGTGTAAGCTTTATGCACGAGGAGGCATGTGGTGGTGCCACCTACATAGGAGCAGTATCCAGAAAGGGATGGAGCAGGGCCAGATTCTTGGAGCGCCAAGACAGCTGGCTGAGAGCCAAGTGAGCTGAGGAAAAGGGAAAGATGTGAACGCTTTCGCCTGTTCCTGAAGCCTCCAGGGTTCCACTGTATGACCTCGAATTTAGATGCAATGTTTGAACGGGACGTACGATTGGTAGCCATCGTGACTGTCTTAGGTTTTACATTTGGTCCTCCATGTCCCGCTCGGAATCCTCAGAGGCAGGGAGGGGCACGGAGGCCGGATTGTCCGACGGCGGGTGGTGGTAGCCATCTTACGACGACGCCGTGGAGCTGTACCATCACTGCTCACCGAGCAGGAGCGGGCACGCGATGCCTTGGGTTGAAACTGGGTGATTGCCCAGGCTTGAATAGCCTGGGTAACCTCTACTACTATGCATTGGACCGAGAAGCTGGTGAGGAGGTGATTAATCGAAGCTTCGACGTGCGTGAGGCATTCCTCTACGCGCGGGGCGCGCTCTTCGCAAGGGAGAGTTTGGTTAGCGGGCAAGAGAACCTGAGGTGCCCCAGGAGCCTCAAGAGTTTCTGGAGTAGATGTGGCACCGGTTTAGAGTGCTGGAGTACACATGGCTGCTTGAACCGGCGGTTGAATGGGAGTGGACTTAGCGCGAGGACTAAGCTTGGATGTAGCTGGCGTAGCCGGCTGGACAGAGGAGGCAATACCCGATGGCCTTGCAGTACACTGTTGTTGGGGTTGAAGTCGCTTATTTAAGAGTTCGAGTTGTTTAGTTAAAAGAGAATTTTGCTTTTGAAGTGCCCCAACTTGCTGGCGAAGGGCCGCAAGTTCGGGAGAAGGAGGATCGACAGAAGGGGGTGAGAGAGGCTTAGAAGCAGCATTCCCTGCCCAACTGCTCACCTGAGGTATCGCCGCTGGTGCTTCGAGCGGTGGGAATGCCTGAGTGTCGGCGTGGAGTGGTGGAGCCGAATGATGCAGGTTGGTGCCGCTGTCTGGCTGTGACGAACATGAGGTGGTCCCTCGAGGAGATGTTGAGGGCTGCTTGCGTTTCCGATATTTTGCCGTGCAGCCACTGGTCCCAGTCTCATAGGCGCCGTGGCAGAGGAGGCACTTGGGGTGGCAGTCGTGGGTATTGAGACCTGCAGGTGCGGGGGTTCCACATTTGGCACACTGGGTTGGAGCGGGGTGAGAACACTGAGGTGGTCGACGACCGATGGTACCGCACTTGGTACAAACAGGCACCGTTTTCTTGTAGGCGCGGATAAACGTCGCCACGCAGTGGTAGAAGAGGAAGCGGGGTAACTTCATGCCCTCGAAAGTCACCACCGCCGCCGCGGAATCTCAGAGTTTGCGGACCGCGAGGATAGTACCTCGAGGCCAATGTAGTTCTGACTTTATCTTCTCCGGGCTTTCAGCAGGGTTTATGTTGATGACGCCCTTGCATGTATCCCCTGGTGCCTTGGCGTGGCCCCGAACGGGCAGCTGCTGATCCCCCAATTGCAGCTGGAAGTCCCCGAGGAGTCGCTGTGCCATAGGCAAAATGGTGGTGCTACAGACCAAGATGTTTTGTTCCCAGATCGGCCACACTTGAATTTGCGTGGTAGTCCGGTCGCCGAGGTAGCTGCGGATGGCGTCGCCCGCACGATCGGCCGGGACGAATGTGCGTAGCTCGCAGGGAACGCGAGGTTTCACCATAAAGAAATAAAAAATACGATGTAGTCGTCGCGAGAGAGGCGAGGAGTTTGACGCGGACGCCACTTGCATTGCTTCGCTGGCTGCGAGGACGGAGCAGAGGTAGGCACACCACCGAAGGGATGGCGCGCCGGCGTTCCTTGCAAGGTTGGGGAATGGTGGCCCACTGTGGCGTCTCATTGTTGTTGAGACGCAGACTTCGATTTCGCTTGCTTGCGTTGCCACAGTCTCACCATGTCGTCGAGGTATTCGTCTTCTGATGGCATAGTGTTTACGGAGGATGAAATCTCCATGGACAGCACTTGGCTTGAGGTAGGATCATAGCCCGTAACCACGTTAGCGGAGCCCTTAGTGAGGCGGCGTTGTAGCCGGGAGTGAAGGACGTCCCTCAAGTTGTCGAAACTGGACCCACCTGGACGAAGGTGTTGTCTAGGCGAAGCGGAGAACTTGGCGGTGACGATAAACCCAAGTTTCAGGGGTACCAAGGTGGATGTCCGCAGAAATAGCAGAAAATCTACGGAGGCGATGTGGAGTGCGTCCGTCACCATCGAGGTGTTCTGTGGCGCTCCCACCCCCCCACCCCCGGGCTTTGAATTCTCGATGGAAACAAACAGCTTACCAGGGACGCAAGCTTGGCTTGGCGCTGGCTTGGCCGTTCATACAGAGCCAAAAGCCGCTGCAGAAAACTGAATTGCGGATCGGATTGAGACAAAATGTTTTATACATTTTTGTTTTCCTTGTTTCATTTCTCTAATTGCTCTTGTGATGGCGTGGACCGCGCTTCGTGATCTCATGTACCGGCGCACTGTTTTTAAGTTTAGTATGGCGCACGATAATACATGATTGCGTGCTTTAATTTAAAAAGGTTCGCGAGTATGGCAGCAACACTGCAATGTCGGGAGGAGGATAGTAGTAGAACCAGTAGCAGCTGCATGCCCGGATGGAGTGACTCAGGAATGTCAACCCGATGCCTTTTGAGTTGGCCGTTCAGGCAGTTCCGCCGACTGTATAAAAAGAGACGACCTCGTCGCTTGTCCTCTTCTCTTTTCCTTCGGGCATCGGCGACAACGTTAACGGACGACGTGTTAGACTTCACCGTGCACGTGAGTATAGGTTGGTTTTTCATTCGAGTGAATTCTTGCTCAGATTTGCAACTTGTCTACTTCATCCTGATCACCTGTCACCGGCAATAAGTCACATACGTGTAATATTTAGGGGAAATAAATGATAATGCACACTTTCTACTCCATTTGCGTGACTTAGCTACACCAGGACATGAGGTAAAGCCTTTGTCGCCTAGCTACTAGCAGGCAAGATCGATCACTCTCATCCTTCAGTTCACGAATCAACGCGCCTGCCTTAAAATTAGTAAGCTGCTCGCAAAGAAATCTTACCGAGGCAATTTAGTTTTCTGTGAACAATGCACCGTAGATTTGTCTTGAACAACAAAAAAAAAACCTTGAAAAATAAATGTCGCGACCTTTTAGAAAACGCCGTGTCTAAGAGCTAGACGCGGCATTTTGTAAAAGGCTCATTAAATTCAGTATGTTTTCGTAGTTTCTGCTTGAAATTATTATTGTCTATGAATTTCATGGCCCAATCTTTTGCTTTGGCTGAAAATCTCGGCGGCAAAACTTTGTTCAGTGTCCCTTTAAGGGCAGGTGTAGATGCCATCATTTCAGTCGCAAATCTTTTTGCTGGTCGGTCGGCTGGTTAACAATAAGGGTACTAACTAGAGTTCCAGATTTCATCAGCAACACATCATCATGGCTTCATCAGATGCTGCATTATATACATTCTATCCTCATTTTTAAAAAGGTGTACCGTATGGTCCACCGTTACAGGAAACAAGCGAGCTCATGGACGGTGAGCCATGTGGTGCTAACTGGCAGCGAGGCTTGTGAATTGGACGCATGCGCATAGAATCGGGGTGCGCCCAATTTTGTCTGCCATTTCTCCGCCTGTACGCATGCCAGCATTGGAAAGCGCATCCGTATTTTGGCTGTGCAATTTATCTAGCCCAGTGCCTCCTGCTTCAGGGATTTCCAGTGAGCACAAAAAATGCATGATTTTAATCGTTGCTGCAGTGTTTTGCAAGTTGTCACCGTAAAGCACATCATATTTTTTGCATAATGCTCGCTGCAACTGGCAAGTTTCGATGACTCAAAATGCTGTTCAGGTCTGATGTTGCAAAGATTTTAAGCTCGTCCTTGTGACCATGAAATATTGGTTTATTAAATAATGGAAGGCAGAGTTGGTATCAGTTGATTTACAGCGTGAAAATGAAAAGTGCGAAGTACCGTGCTTTCCAAGTAAGCCCCGAGAGCATGAGCAGAGAAGTAGCAGATGCGGTATGTACCGACTTGATGAATTGATGCACATGCGCTGCATTTCCAAATCTCACCAGCACTAGTGCTTGACGGACTGCTGGCCACGCACTAGCATTTTTCTTCTGAAACAGGACATTGGCCCTGTAAGCAAGTTCTTGAAGGGCATAAGTAAAACGTAGAATGGACCCCCTAAATGCACCCATCCTTGAACCATTGGGCTTATGAATTAGTGCCCTTTTCAAAATGCAACTATTCTGAGCAATAAATTGTGACAAAACAGTGCATGAAGTTTAAAAATGGGAAAAAAGTCCTTACATGTCCCCTTTATACATAGTGTTCTTGTGATGTCACTTCTGCCGTTGTCGCCCTCTCTTGCCATGCCCGGGTAACTCCCTGGGTACCTACGGCAGTTCACGTGCTGCAGTGCGGCTTGTTGGGGGCTCGTCATCTGTTGCTGTGAACAATGTTGAAAGGGAAGCATCGTGGTTTTTTGTTGTACTTTAACGAGCACATTGGATCAGAAAGGCCTCGCTCGTTCACACGATACAAGACCAGATAATCAAGATGTGCGACACGTACACCAGCCACCGCGTACACCGGCTGCCCACCACAACCTATGAGGGCCTATTATACTGCTTTCACTACAAATTGCCTGGCCCAAAAACAAGTGAAAGCTCAAAATTTCGAGCCGCAATTTTAAGAGTGGATGTGCGAAGCGCAGCAGCTCCCATCGAAAACTAGTCGTGCAGAGCTAGGCAAGTTTACAAGAAATATAATATTAATATGACTATATGTCGTGGCCGATGCCACCAAAGTAGCAATGCCCCCCCCTCCTAAGTGTTTTAAACAGAGCTGATGTTGAGCTTGAGCCTCTTTGATTGCAATTTGTGGAAACAGTCGGGGAAAGCTTATACAAGGCAGATAACGACTTTGCGTGGTGTGTGCCGCGGTAATGCCAGTCATCACTTTTTTTTCTCGCATATGTTTTAACACCCTTTTCACTTTGTATTTTGCTTTTGTTGTGCGCTAATGTACAGTGGAGTCGCGGAACATGATAGAGACTGTATAGAATTAATTGACTAATTTGAAAAAATCCTGACCCCCCAACTTGAACCGATCGGCTATACTTCAAAGTTAACTAATATTGTTTCCCATTCTTTATCAGTTTGTTTCAATGCAATACCAAAATCTCCGCGATCGCCATCATGATTTCAACTGCGGACAAGTTTGTATGTACAGTATCTGTGTAAGCTATATCTGTTTGCAGGTAAATACTTGGCTATGGCACTTACCCGTAATGAAGTTGCACCTGAAGATTTAAGTATTGCAGAGTTTCTTCAAGTAGCTTTTGTTAATCTGCACCAGCCAAATACGCTGGTACTTTTAGGAAAATCGCAATGTGCGTTCTCAATTTTAGGTAATAACTTTCAGCGAAGAAACACCCTAAGCTCTGCTCCCTCTGCGTGGACTCCTAAATCAACTTGCCTCACTAGCAGCTCATAATTCCTCAAACTTGCATCGTTAGGCAAAACTAAACGGGCTCAAGCACGAGGAGACAACACGGCAGTTGTAGACGATAGATTTGGTAGGTGCCCGGGCATGTCGGTGGCACATTTCGGAAGTGAAGAAGGGGCGCTGCGAGATGCACGTGCACACTTTGTGTAGTTGCTGTATTGGACTGCAAACTTTTTTTCTTATCTGGGCAGTTTTACCAAAGGAAGCTTCATCATATGGCGTGATAAATGAAGCGAATCCACAGGTTGAACCACACCATTTTTTTGCTTTACTTTTGTATTTTTTTTAGCTCGCAAAATTTATTTGTACATATAAGTGACAACTTCCCAGTAATAAGGCAGCACTCGTTTCTTTATCATGTGATCATCTCCGGTGTGCTGCTGCCCCAATATTTCAAATTCTAAGCATTTACATCATTGTATGCTAACTTTTCCTTCACGGTGAGACAAGCCACATGTGTATCGTAGATCAAGAAGCATGCCAGTTTCACGTACTTGCAAGGTATACTTCAGAAATGCACAGTTGATCAAAAATATTAGTTTAATGATGCAACTACATAGCAGAGCACCTGTGGCACCAATTAAATCATTTTGCATAGCTTCCACGTATTCATTGTACATCTAAGACTACCAATTATTGGGCTGTTCCACATTTTCCATGTGGCTATTAGGCACAGAATAGATCATTGCTACATGTGGCAGTACTTTGTATGGCACACTAGACAAGGTCGAACAAGCTGTCAGCTGCAGTGTGTTCAGGAAAAATCCATGCTATTTTGTACAGACAGTGCTGTCACATTTCATCAGTGTGCAGTTTTATCGAATATCATTAAATATACCACTACATCCTTATTTACATTATGCATATTGCAGAGAACAATTAAAAAGCTTTGTAGCATAATGTGAAAGATGTTAGTTTTTTTTTTTCATTTTCAGCACTCTATACACTATAATTTCTCTTTTTCATTCATGTAAATTATAAGCTACCACTTTTCAGTGTATGTTGCCATCTGTGGTTACAACATAACATGCAAGGCACTTGGTACCTCTTCTCGTTATTCATAAACAGTGAATTTTTTCTTGAAATTTGGGGCGTCTTTTTTATTAGAGCTGCTCTGGACTTGACATGTAGTTCGTTATCAGTGAATGAACAAAATTGACGCGGTATCTTGGCTACAAACTTTACCACTTTGTTTACAGCATGCCAAAGCTTTTTGCTGTCGTGACGTTTCCCGAAGAACAAGATAAAGTGGCCGTTGTGCCACTCTCATGGCTAACGGAAGACCGGGCCCAGTGCCACTGGCCACCAAAGAGGAGGGGTGTTCGGGTAGAAGACTTGCTTCGAGACCGGGTGGACCCAACTGCAGCCTGGCAAAAGTACCCAGTTTTTCTTGTGGCTCGTTGCAGTAAGTGAAGTTTCCAAGTTTTTTGTGTTTATCTTGGGCACATCAGACTAATTATGACAAAAAAGAAAAACTCTTCACCTAGGAAAAACCCGAAATTTGGGCACATTAACATGTGCCACCTTCCTTGTCCCTTAGTTTTCTTTGTTTTTTGTTGTGTTTTCCCTTCACACACCAAATTAGGCATGCCACTTTATCTCAGTATCTCTTCCCATTTTTCTTTAATGCAAAGCACTTCAGGTGGTAAGGCTGTTGTAGGCTGTCACTGTTGCTTGGCCTGGCACCTGCAAATCTAGATACAGCATATTGAGCGCATGCTCACACCTAAAAGAAGTCTTCTTCCTCTTCTCTGAATGTTTCGACAGTGATATTAAGGCGGGACGTTACTACTATGGCTAGGTGCAGCGTTAATATTCTGGCTAACAAAAAAAATGAGCCCTCAACCGTACACTTCTTTCTTATCGCTCCACAAACATGACAATGCAAACCATGTGTGAAAATTACGAGAGGAGGCCGGCAAAAATAAAAAGAAAAGGAAAGAAAGGATACAAAGTAAAAGAAATAGAACTACAAACATAAATACAGAAAAAAGTGAAGAAAAAGAAAAGGAGGAAAAAAAACCAAAGAGAAGCAAAAAAGGCTCCACACTTCCTTCAGGCTTAGCAGCAGCGAAGCTAAGCTGCCTTAATTCTTTTCTCACCTCATTTTTCCATTTGCTCTTTCCTTTGCCCCTCTTGTTTCGGGAGGGCATAGAAAGCACAATATAAACCTGCTATAGTAGGCACTTATGAAAAGAGACTGCAAGTAAAACCATTCGGTACAGTGACAACCACTGTTCATGGATTTTTCACTAGGCTATAGTCACCTAACACTTTTACTTTGTTTAAGGCTGTAGCCGACGCCAGCTGAAAAACAGGGACCAACGCTGCCAAGTAATTGGTCGTACATACCCCCGGAGACTGGCGTGCATCATGCATCTGTGTAATGCACAGCCTTCTCATTCTGGCGCATGCAACTTGCTCTATGATGATGTTTCGTGATGATGAATCGACGCTTTGAAAAAGTACTGGGCTTGAATTCTTCAGAATATATATGAATTGGTTAAAAATTAATTTGGACACCTTGTGGCACCGACGTTCGGCATAGCAATTGCCATGTGGGAACAGAAGGCTCAAAACAAATTATTTGGGTGACTGAACTGATGTCGCTGTCGTGAAGTCGGAGCTTCTGAGACTTGATCCTTTTCGTGGACACCATGCACATGGTACACTAAATGGCTACCTATTATAGCAAGCAAGATGTTTCCATCAAGCAGTCTATCTGCTTGACATGTCCACATGAGCTAGCTTCAAACAGTCTATAGGAATTGTCTAATTGTGTTCGTTAATTAAAAGTATAAAGTACTTCAAATCGCACTTGAGGACTTTAATAGGGTCGTTGTAAGGTGCTTGTAATGGAGCATGAGTAACATCGTAGTGGATGAAGATGCGGCTGGTATGAAGTGGTAGTGGGCTCGTATAAGCTGTCTTGCAATCATGACGAAGTGGCGGTACTGCGGCAGTAGCCATAGTAGTTCGCAGGCAATCGGCATAGCAGTGTACTTTAGCAAATGTCAATTATGAAGTAAAGAATTCGCAAGGAACAAGCGCTGCGTGTTTTCTTTTAACGCTGTGTGAAGACCTAGTAAAACCAAAGGCAGGTGCTCGATCCATGGAGTTTTGAGAATCGTGCTCGTGACGCTTTTAGTTGTGCTGATATTTTGGGGGTCAAGTTGCTGCTGAAAATGTGTTGCTCTGGGTGTTTATTGGAGAGTGAGAGCACATTGTGATAATCTGCTGTGGCAACTTCTGAATAGTTGCCTTGCACGGACAAACTATGTCTTAGCTTTAACTTGTCACCACTTGCCACGTTTGCCGTCTGCTTTGCAATACTGTGATCTATCCTTACCTTTGTTGCAGTGCAACACAAAACGAAAGCAACAAAGAGTGAATTGACAACACGGCACCGTGTTGTTGCTTTTCTTCCTGCTGTCCTCATCTTGAGCTTTGCTGTAATTCAAGTTGAAAATTGATTGCAACCAACTGGCCCAGCATGCCGTCTACAGTTGAACCCCTCTACAATGAACACCGCTTTAACGAAATTCCCGCTACAACGAAAAATTCACGATTCCCAGTCAGTAGTCCATAGGAGTTCTGCAGAACGAACACTTTTTCTTCTGCCATCCCACTTCAGCGAAATTTCACAATGCGATTCCAGACTCAGTATTTATTGCTATACATTGAACCCAATATTTAACATTTTGATGCATTTTCAGAACCTGAAAATACGTCGACGAAGTCTAAAACACACATTGACACCACCAGAAACCACCGCTGTTAAGCAAGCATAGGTGCGGTCATTGCTCGCTAGCGATGGCAATGAGGCTGCCCTGCTTTGCCAAAAGGAGGGCAGCCTCATTGTCATCGCTATGAGGAATGGTGGCGCCCACGATTGCTGAATAGCGGTGGTTTCTGGTAGTGCCAACGCGTATTTTAGACTTCGTCGACGTATTTTCAGTTTCTGAAAATGCATCAAAATGTTGAAAATTGGGTTGAGTGAGTAGCCCAGACGATACAAAGCTGTGGCTCAGTGTCCTTCGCGCATAGTTTCCTTCGTGCAGCTGCTGGGTGCATCTGCGGGGTGCATCTGCAGAACGATGCCTTTTCCGATTTCAATGCTTATCATTTTGTTCGTGCTTGGAGACTGGGGTGACTAATTAGAGCAGCTGTTCGTTCGCATTATTAACAAAACCAGCTAGTCGCGAGTGATAGATGATTAGAATGGCATAAAATAAGGAAAAAGTCACCGCTTCACGATACCCTGCTGCCATCACGGCGTTTTGACGGCTGACAGCTGCTGGTGTTAACATGTTACTGCAACTGTTTGGTTCGTTCACGAAAGCGGTTATAGGCACTGCGTCCTTTTCAGCGTCCTTTTCACCGTGACCTCGATATGCATGGGTGATAATTGTGTCGGTCATTCTCATACTTAATGGGATACTGAGGCGAAATTTCGTGGCCGAGATAGCCTCCAGGATCGATACCATGAACATTCTTATATATTCTGCAGAATGTCAACAGGGAATATAGCTTGAAAGGTATTTTACAGCAATTTTCAAGTTTCGATTTTGAGTTTACCGACACCATCAAAAGAGACCCCTCGGGGACCCCTTGCTTCCGTCACGTCACCACGCTGCAGTCAATAAAACAAGTCGTGATGACGTCAGAGCCGCCATCATTTTTTTTTCATGTTTACTTCAGCAGTCTATACTCCTTGGCTGCTAGTGGTAAACGCGTGGACGCAGCGAACAAGCTCAAAGTTTTGTGTTTTGAGACACTGCAGTTTTCTGTTTGAAAAGACTTCTTGACGCAGGCCGTTCGAAAGTACGTCACAGTTCTTGATTAGTGGGGCAGTTTGGTAAAGATGCATGACATCAATATTTTGGCTCCAAAAAACGGAGACAAAAGAAAGAAACGTAGACAACATGAGTGCTAACTTCAAACCACCTTTGAAGTTTGCGCTCATGTCTACGTCTCTTTCTTTTGTCTCCGTTTTTTGGCGCTAAGATATCGAAGTCATGCATCACAGTTGCGCCGACGTGGTCAGCAGCTGCCCATGCTAGATGACGATAGTTGTCGTTTTCGAAGCTCTCTCAAACTGAAACTGCTCGATATTGAGAAGCTTGAATTATTTATCTGTCGCGCGCTGTAGCAAACAATGTGCAGTGTTCAGTATAACTAGTCTCACATTGCAGGAAAAAAAATGAGAGGCCAAATTTTAGTTTCAGTACCCCTTGAAGACTTTATGCTGAGAGTTGAGGCTGGTTTGTAAATTACCGTATTTACTCGCATAATCCTTGCACTTTTTTTGGCGGAAAACCGATGCAAAGTTGGGGGGTGTGAGAATTTCACGGGTAAAACGTGCCACGAAAACGTACAGAGCGAAAAAGAAAACGAAGTGACCGCAAATTGGTATTCTTACACCAGCAACTAACAGCAAGCTTTGAGAAGTACTAATTAAAATTTACCTCAACTTTATAATAAAAGCAGAGGTTCAAACACAAGGCAAGATTTATTTGAGACAAAAAAGTGCAAGCAAATAGTCGAGAATTAGAATATTCTACGCAAAGCTTGTGGGCGTTGCAGTAGCGTTCGTCACTCAATCGGAGCCCTCAAAAGGTAAGCGTAGGATGTCAGTATTTGGCTGATGGCGATTTAACAGAATCGTCCCCAGTTTCCTTCTGAAGCATTAAAGTTTACCATCAATCCCAGTCGCACGGCAGGCCCTATGGGTCTTGGTGGCTTTCAGCTACCGTCACCAGTAGCGAACGCAAAACTCGTCATCTCCAAAGGGCCTACCGCCGGCCCTGTTGCCGTTTTTTAGTGCATGATCAATCACTTTCAACTTTAAAGCAGCCGTGTAGCTTCAGTATCGCCCCCATAACGTGAGAAAATTGCCGACACAACATATAAAGCACGCCGCAATGCGCACTTGCCGCTTTGGCTAGGCTTGGATTGGATTGAATCTTCGTGCATTAATAGTACGCTTGATGCTTAAAAGATGACGCGCGCTATCCTCATCAACGGCTAAAAGGAGCAGGCGACAATACTGTGGCAATTTCTGAGGGTGCGATAATTACTCGAGGAAAAAAAACGTATTTTTGTTGGGCAATGTGGGGGGTGCGAGAATTATGGGGGTGCGAGGATTACGCGAGTAAATACGGTATCCTGAGGACTTGCAGTACCAGCTTAGTGAATTTGTACAAATTGTTGGTGTTTCTAAACAGGTCACTTTTTCATTGATAGTAGAAACACATATTAAGATATGTACTGCAACATGACACTTCCATGGGTCATAAAACTGACTGCTAACAATTTGTACAACTGATAACTTTTACGGCGTGTAGAAACATTTAGAACTGTTAAGGAGAGATGTGGGTCGAAAAACAAAAGTTTTCTAAAAAATTTACAATTTTTGTTCTCACCTGTTAAGAATAGAGCCTTTACTGTACCGAAAGAAGATATATATGTCGATACTCAACCAAAATGCTTTAAAATTGTGTCTAAAGAGCACAAGTTGGTTTTAGTGTGCACTCTTTGAGCACCTTACCGCTGATAATGCGCCGCCACTCGCCATTGTCGATCGCATCAGGCGAAGAGCCAAGCCTCACTCTTCAAATAACTACTGTTTTCTTCACTGCTTCAGTGCAAGAAATGAACAGAAGCATGCTTTCGCCCAGTTTTTTTAATGCCGCAACTGGCTTTTGTATTGTGTGTTATGGATCGGGGATCGCCACTGTGTGTAATGTAGAGCCATCTTGCGGGGTTCATGTCTCGTCAAGCAGCACAGTTGAAAGCTTTTCTCGTGTGTTTATCTCTGTTATGGATCCGGAAAGGTGTAGCTCAAGCGATAGCTGTGCTGCCAGTGGGAAAGCTGTTGTGGCAGCGCACCCTGTAGGAATGGGCTATGAGCAGTTGGTCCGACTTGCGGCAATTTTTGGCTTGAACGTTGGCCAATGCATCATGAGTCATTTACAGCCACCATCTGGAAAGCCCGTGATTTGGCAGTAGACGTCTGTGGCACTCTTGCGAGGTCGAAAGGGCTCGCAGTGAGACGTTGGTGGGGATGACATTGCCGTTACGTATAACGGTATGTGGCAGAAACGCGGCCACAAGAGCCACAAAGGTATCGGCATTGTTGTGTCCCTCGACACTGGATTTTGTTTAGATTTCAAAGTCCTGTAGAACTTCTGCATAGCTTGCAGTCCGCACAAGGCTCTGCCAGATAGTGTTTGGGAGGCGTTTCATGGCCCTGTTTGTGAGGGAAGTGTGTGAGGAGTCTGCTCGAAAGAGCTTTGAGGGATAAGCTTATGGTGCTGGCACATTTTAGTGGCAGTTGCCACTTCCAGAAATATTATTGTTTTTGGTGTGGAAAATTCATTCCATTTAATTGCATTTTTAATAAATAATCAGTTTAAAACCGACTCGTTTTTCTCAAAATAAATGTTGCCATTTTTCGCTATGTGCCCCTCTTTTTTCGGGTACTTCTGGTGTTCGGATCTGCATAAAGTTCACCCAATCTGTTCTGAAGTACGAGAAATGCGGTTATCTTGTTTCAATTTCAATATTTTTATATAGTAAAGAAATTAGTTCTATGTAAACTTTTACTAGAGTAGGATAAACAGAGACTTTCCATGTTGTAATTTTTCACGTCTATTACATATATTGTATACACTTTCTAATTGGCTCTCTGCGTTCTGTACTTTATCTAAAATATTATGAACTATCAGTTAGTAGTGGAAAGAGGAGGGGGGAGGCCAGGGGTTTTTGCTTTGTCGCGTTGCGGGACTTAAAGTAGGGAGCTTGCGAAAAAACTATATATTTAAAATCTCCATAAAAAGTTCTGCAAACAGCTCAAGTTTCATTGCTTTAAAACGGTTGTTTTGGTGTCATTCTTCAGTTTCTGATCATAGCTGTGCCAGTTTGCTGTCAATATTTTCTAGAGTTGCAAATTTATTTCTAAGGACGTTTGTCTTTCTGAGAATTAGACCGGCACTCTTCAACTAGTTGCGTACCCTATATTGCCTTTATTATGATTTGCTCTAAAAAATGTTTCGTTCACAGGCACTCTTGAGAAAGCCGAGCGCCGTGCCACTGGTGCACTGTACGGCCTAGCGGCAGACGCAACGGAGCAATCAGGTAATTGCTTACATTCATTCTTTGCTTACATTTTGTAAGCAGGCACCAGCTTACAATTGTAAGCTCGTGCCTGCTTACCATGCCTGTTAAAGAAGGTGAAACAAGTTTGGAAGAGATGATGACTACTTTTCTAATTGAGCTAATTAGGAGGTTAACCTATAACATCTGTGTTATTACTGTGTTAAAGTACTCAAAATTGTTTTTTTTTTATTAAAGTCAACTAACAATTTACGTCAGAGTAAAAGCTCAATGTATGACAGCGTATAAAACGACAATACAGTTAAACCTCTATAACGAAGCTGTAGGGGGAGTCTTAAATACTTTGTTATAGCATTAGTTTATTATAGCTCATATTCATTTCTACCGACCATTAGCCAGCAAGAGAAAATGTGCTCGCCACTGAATATCACAGCAGCCTGCCTTGCAGAGAAAAACAGCCGTCGGAAAGCAGAAAACTAGCAAAATAATAAAGGGCAACGCACATTGTTTTAGCCTAATTCAGCACACCAGCTGGCAGATCACTTCGAAGAAAAATAGTCTCGTCACGCGGATGACTTTTTCAGCAGCAGCTATTTCGAGTCTGTCCTCGCTGTCATTTTAGGCACCAAGGAAGCGGCTGCGTTAGGTCTGTCGCAGCCAGCGCTTGCACTGGCGTCGGTACGTCGGCTTCGTCAGCATCAGGCTCCGGGATGTCGACACATTCGTCACTGTTGTCATGCACCCCCATCACCATGCGCACAATTTCCGCATCTGACAGCTTTTTGGTTGTCGCCGTGCCAGCAATGGCACCGACGTTGGTGCAAAAAGTGTCGCAGTCAGGCACAATGGCAGCGTCAAAAAGAGCGTCCCAGGACGTCTGGGCCTGGTGGCCCGCGACACCCTCACTGGCGACATTGCCAAAATCTCTGGCCACTATTATTTTTTTCCTTGATGCCAGACTCGATGGCTTTCATCATAGCCGACTTCCACTCAATTGTTATATTTTTGCACTTATGTTTGCCACTGCCATTGTACATCTCGTGTCTAGGGGCAGAAACTGATAGAGGTGGTGTCACTATTCCACAGCGAATGACAAGGAACAAAGCTACAATTCCTGCCATCTCGGCACGGAGCTGAAAGGAAGAAAGAGGTCAGGGAACGCCTATACCACTTTGAGGAGGTCAGATGCGCGGGCGTGCCAATGAGTTCTGGAAAAGAGGGGAGGCTGGCTGATGCGCACGCTCGCACGAGTTGCTGCGCGGGCCAGTCTATTAGTTCCTGGGGAACGGGGAGGCAAGGCGACTCGCACCAAAGCAGGTGTTAGCAGGCGGATACGGGACAGCACAAGGGGCGAGTTTTGAATTACCGCAGCCGCGATGAGATGTAAATCGTCGCATGCTGTAACATATTGAATTGACGTATACCGAAATGATCAGTAAATGCTTGTTGTGGACAAACAATGGTTCGTTATATTCATTTGTGAGGAAATCTTCGCTTTGTAAGAATACTGCTAGATGCACGCCGGGGTAAAGCAACCGTTTAATGGGCCTAACAGCATTGAGACAGCAACCAGCAGTTTCAGGAGCAGCTGCAGCAGCACGAGCCTCCGCCACAACAAACGTCTTCTTCGTCCTTTTTAGGGCCCGTATTTGTCACTACATTGACTCCCCGGTGCGAAAGGAGCCATCCTGGCGACCTATGGCACAGACAGGACTGGTGGGTCGTAGTGAGGTTTTAGACGCTCGACGTGCACAGTCTCGCGCCCACGGCGCCGATGATGTAGATGGCTGAATAGGTTCAACTATGTAGTTGACTGGTGAATTCTGGCGCATAGTCCAGTACGGACCGTCATACTTGGGTATGAACTTTCAGCAAAGGCCTGGGGCAGACGATGGCACGCAGAGCCACACGATTGCCCCAGGCGCGTATGATGAAGGGGATGAGCGTCGGTCTGGCGAGCCTGATCGTGCGTAGTTAGCGAATGTGCTAGCTGCCGACATTCTTCGGCATATGTGTCGGCTTCGGCCAATGTTGTCGATTCTGAAGGGGTCTGGGCGGTACAGAAGGATAGTGTCCAAGAACGATGAAGGTTCCCAACCATAAAGAAGGTAGAATGGGGAGAATCCAGTTGTAGATTGAATTGCGCTATTGTAAGCGTAAGTAACGAATGGCAGTATGCGGTCCCAGTTCGTATGGTCATCAGAAACATACATGGAGAGCATGTCACCCAGCGTACGATTGAATCGCTCGGTCATCCCGTTGGTTTGGGGGTGGTATGCAGTCGGTATGCAGTCGGTTGTTCGGTGCACTATGTTGCATTCGCGTAGGAGGGCTTCTACAGCTTCAGACAAGAAGGAACGCCCATGGTCACTGAGAAGCTCGCGAAGTGCACCATGCCGAAGGACGAGGTTGTGCAGAATGAACAGGCAGACTTCACACGCAATTGCCTCGGGAAGCGCCGAAGTTTCGGCGTAGCTCATAAGGTGGTCCACGGCTACGATGACCCAGCGGTTTCCATTTGGTGTGTATGGTAGGGGACCGTACAAGTCGATTCCGACGCGGCTGAAAGGCCGAGAAGGACAAGGCAGTGGCTGGAGTGGCCCTGCGGTTGTGCGAGGGAAGCTTTTCCGGCGTTGGCACAAGGAACATGAATGGACGTACTGCCTAACAAAGCGGTATATTCCGCGCCAGTAATATCAAATTCGTAGGCGAGCATACGTCTTTGCTACACCTGCGTGGGCGCATTGCGGATCTGCGTGGAAGGAGGCACAGACGTCAGAACGTAGGTGGCGAGGTATTACCAGCAACTATTTGCGGCCATCAGATAGGTAGTTTAGCCGGTACAGAAGACCGTCACGGATGGTAAAATGGCGAGCAGTTCGTCGAAGTAAACGGTTGTCGGTACGTGGAGACGTCTGAGACAGGTACTCTAAGAGAGACGCGATCCATGGATCCTGGCGTTGCTCAGCGGACATGTCGTCCTGTTCAAGTGAAGAACATTCGCAGCTGGAAACAGACACTGCAACATAACCGTGGGGAAGTGTCGAGTGAGAAAGAGCGTCGGCGTCCGAATGCTTGCGGCCTGACCGATAAATTACACGAATATCGTAATCTTGGAGACTTAGTGCCCAGCGAGCTAAGCGACCAGATGGGTCTTTTAATGATGACAACCAACACAATGCGTGGTGATCAGTCACGATGTCAAATGGGCGGCCATATACGTAAGGTTGGAATTTTGTGATTGCCCAAACAATGGCAAGGCATTCTTTCTCTGTGACTGAATAGTTCTTTCCCGCTTTAGTGAGGGTGCGACTAGCGTAGGACACAACATACTCATCGAAGCCAGATTTACGCTGAGCAAGAATAGCGCCGAGGCCAACTCCACTAGCGTTCGTATGGATTTCGGTTGGAGCGTCTGGATAAAAGTGGCGTAGGATAGGTGGTGATGTCAGAAGATCGCGTAAAGACGCGAATGCTTTGTCGCATGCTGGGGACCACGCTGAGAGGCCTTGGTTGTCGGCAAGTAGCTGCGTCAGGGGTGCGACTATGGTGGCGAAATTGCGCACAAAACGGCGAAAATATGAGCAGAGCCCGATGAAGCTGCGGAGTTCTTTTAGTGTAGCTGACCTGGGAAAGTCGGCGACAGTGCGAAGCTTGGCTGGATCAGGACGGACACCATGCTTGCTAACAACATGCCCTAAGATCGTAAGCTGGCGGGCAGCAAAGTGGTATTTCTTCAAATTCAGCTGCAGTCCAGCGTTCGAAAGACAAGTCACGACGCTTGCGAGGTGGCTGAGGTGGGAGTTGAGGTCCTTCGAGAAAACGACGACGTCATCCAAATAGCGCAGGCATGTGTTCTATTTAAAGCCTCTAAGGATGTTGTCCATGAGACGCTCGAAGGTGGCAGGCGCATTACAGAGGCCGTCAGACGAGGCATTACAGAGGCATTACAGGCGAGGCATTACAAAGGCATTGGCGAGGGGCTTAGGTAGAGTCCGGGAACGGAGTTCCAGTTTGAGACAACCAGCACTCTCCACCAAATCTAAGAATACTGCTAGACGCACGCCGGGGTAGAGCAACCGTTTATTGGGCCTAACAGCACCGAGACAGCAACCAGTGGTTTTAAGCAGCAGCTGCAGCAGCACGAGCCTCCGCCACAACAAAAGTCTTCTTCGTTGTCTTTAGAGCCCGTATTTGTCACCACAGCTTCTTTAAAATGAACTTGTATACATGGGCGTGCATGGGAATTTAAAGGGGAATTACAATTGCTTCGTTATTTCTATTAGTTCATTTCGCACTTTGTTATAACGAGGTACTACTGCATTATCAACAACAGTGCCCTATTTGCCGAGAAATTAAGGGGGGACGTGCCTTTGAGAATGAACTTTCTTGTTTCTGGTCGGATGATGATGAAAATCGGCACAGCACTAAGTGCATCCAAAAAAATTTCGAGGCGATAGCACATATACTTGATGAGAGACAAATTATTTTTCAATTGAACATTGTAGAGGGGCTGGAGGATTTTTAAAATGACAAAAATAGTTGCTAATTGCTGTATGCACAGCCAAATGTATGTTGAAAGGGGCTGCATTCTCCAAATAACTTATTTGCAACACTAAAACTTGTAGTTTATGTTTTCTCCAGCGACACTGCAATGAGCACACTTGCACTACAAACAAGAAACTCTATAAAAAATTCTTTAAGGAGTATAATGAAAAACTGAGATCGCAGCCCCCTGAAGCACAGTTCAAGGAGCATTACAAAATAAACTGAATCAAAATCCGTACAGTGGTTGCCCAGATATCTGCTCCACGAGCTGAGTGTAATGCCAAAAAAACAGTATTGAGAAAACTGCATTTAAAGTTTCAACTTCTTTTTACGTCTCTAAAACACCTAAAGATAGTGATCTTAGGTTTGTCTTGTGATATTTGACTTTTCAGGTATCTGGTCTCTGACCAGTGTGCCTTGGTTGCCCTTTTTTTTTCCCCCATAATTTCCTTTTCATGTTTTACAAAGAACAAGTATGGATTTCAAACCAAGTTCTTTGTATGAAGGAGTGGTGTGATAGGCATGACAGAAAAAATTGTAATTGAATGAGACCATATACTGAATTGATTACACATATTTCTTGTGCCGAAGTTGTAATTAGCGTAATTACGTTCTTGATTATAAGTATTCACTGAACATTTCTTTATTTAGAGAGAGGTTTACTGCATCAGAAAAATGGATCACACCATGACAGCCTATGCCTTCTTTCTAAATAACAGTCATGGGCAGAAAACTGGTGGCACAGGAATTTTTAGCAGTATATTTAATGACGTAAAACGGGCATATAAAAATTCTTGCCCCTGATTCATACGTGCTCTTTTGCCGCTCTAGCTGTGAAACGCATCATCATACAGCCGGTCGCGGAAACTCTAATCTACAGCAATTCATCAACCTCAGAACATTCATAGACGTTCGTGGCGATATCAAGCACGGCTCCAAGCACGTCTAAATCGCATCACAAAAGCTTATTGACAGCACTCCATATGACCGTGGGGTGCGCGGCCGCGCGGACAGGGCAGCCGGCGCGTAATGCACTTGCCGGCGGCGTTCGATGACGATGTGCGAAATGCTTAACTACGAAGACAAAAAATCGGCACGCACTGCATTGGCATCGCATTTTCGAATGACGACGCGCGAAACTGCTAGCCGCTGTTCCGAGCAATCCATGGCAGTGATGGGGGGGGGGGGGGGGGGGGGGGGGGGGGCTGACGAGCTTGACTGTGTTGTCCGCTGCCGATGCGTAAAATGCCCGTACGTGATTCAGAGGAGCTAGCGAGTGATGTGGTACATTACTTGCAAAGAAGCACGTCGCCAAGAGTGCGCTTGCGCGTCGCTCCTGCTCGCAGTCTCGCTGTCAGAGGAGTTAGGCCTAAAGCCGACTCCGATGACGCGCCGCACTTGTAGACCGCCGCGCGCCCGCTCGTAGTAATCTGATCATGCATCCGGTGCGCCCACTCGTAGCAATCAGATTGTGCCGCCGCTTTCAGCTTCATTGCTTGCAAAGAAGCACGTCGCCACAAATGCGCTAGCGCGTCGTTCCTGCCCGCAGTCTCGCTGTCGGCGGAGTTAGGGCTAAAGACAACTCCGATGACGCGCGGCGCTCGTAGACTGCGCTCCCGCTCGTAGTAACATGATCGCGCATCCGCTTAGTGCTCGTAACTAAAGCGTAGCTATACCTTAAGTGATTATCAAGCCGTGAACACGTCACGAAGTGGCGATTTTCGAGAGCCATGTCCTCGCGACGCACAAGCAGCAGACGACGATCTCCCGGAGCGAGCATCGGGCCAATGGCGAGGCGAGCTGAGGCAACATGACGGCCACAGCCAATCAAGGGCCTCAAAACGACCTTCAAACATTTGCTTTTGGCTCGCTTGTTGTTGAAGGGAGGAGCCAGCTGAGGCGGGAAAGTTAAACACGGAGAAATGCTCTTTCCTATGAGCCCAAGAAGTCGGCTCCCAGCCCAAGCATCGCGAAGCTATAATTTTTTGAAAATCGCCGTTTTCTTGCCATTTCCAAAAAAAAGTTTTGCTACCTAGGTGGGTGAAACGAATTTTCCGAAGCACTTCTGCGCGGTTTTCAGTGTAGATATTTTGGAACCAGATAGAAAATCGATTTTTTTGCCATTTTTCGCGATCCCAAAGCCGCGTCCCCCTTTAAGGTAAATGCACAAGAATACACGTGCCGCAGTAGGATATTGTCAAAATGATCCCGGTGACATCAGACGAACCGCCTACAAAGCTAGATGGCATGACCAGTCTAGTTGCCATTCCCTCGTGCCATTCCCCGTAGTAACGTCTGGCAGTCTTTTTTCCGTGAATCAAACTGAAACGAACAAACAGCATTTTAATAAGTCTCTTGATGCACGGAAGGTTCTTTATTTAGTACAGCTAGTTTGATTATTAGCGATAATTGTAGGCTGTAACTGATGTCATCAGGATCAATGTGTTATTTTGACGCATGCGTTCTCGTTCATTTACCTTAGTTTTTTTGGTAAGTAGGGCATTGCTGTTGATAATATCGTTGTTTTAGACATTATACATTGAGCTTTCACTGTCACGTAAAATGTTACTTGACTTTAGTGTCCCTCTAACAAGTGGCAGGAATCTTGCCGCTGTGTTACTGTGTACACCAGTGCACTTTCACTAGTCGTTTGTTTACACATATGCTGAACAAAAAATGCTGTTGGCACTTCCAACATAGCACCAGTGCCGCACTTTTCAACATGCAGGTCTGGCATCACACTGTTCTGCATCCTGTGTGCAGGCTGTGAGCGGCAATACATTTATAAAGTGGGCAGTGGTAACAGTCTGATGTATGTTACCGTCGAATCTCGATAATTCGAACTCGAAGGGCCCGAAAATTTGTTTGAATTAGAAGAAGTTTGAAATAATGAAAGCTAAATAAACAGAGGGCTCTCTATGCAGTGGTGCATGTGCATTGAGCTAGCACACGAGGGGGAAGTTTAAGAAGACTTACATTTGTTCACAAATCACAGGACATCTGGTATTAATTGAGGTAATTGGTAATGCACGTCCGCACACGTTTGCCTTGCAGTGAGTCAATCGATTTCGCACACATTTTGCAACGCATTTCTACTTCGACTTCAGCATTCTCCTGGCAAGAGAAGTTTCGCGCAAAAAATGTCCATCGCCGACACTTTTTAAAGACGACGACAACAACGACCGCTGCGTAGCGAAGCCTCCCGCTCTCGGCCACGCAGCTGTAGCATGGCCAGCACGTGACGAGAAAGGAGGAGGGTTTCCTCACGGAGAAAAGCAGATCTGTATTTGAGAGAAAACCAACACTCCACGGCAGCTTTTCTTTTTTTTTTTTTGCTCTCTTTCGCGTCTGTGGTCGAATGGAGAAGGGTTACATGGCAGGGAAGGGAAAAGAGCATGTGTGGAACCGGCTGGTGAGAGCCCCCCCCCCCCTTAAGGCGCAGAGCCCTGCTCCTGCAAGGGCTGTAGAAGATAGTGCCTTTATCCTTTCCTTTAACCACACAATAATTCATTTAGCTACGGCTTTCCTTTTTTTCCCTCTCTCTTTTTGTGCACAGCTTTGGAAGGAGGAGGGTCTATACTTGGCAGGGACAGATAAGGGAGAAGCGTGACACGGGCGCGTCGCAGATCAGCATTTGAGAGAGCAAACATTCCACCCTAGCCTTTTCTTTCCTTTTCATTTCCTTCGCGGGCAGTGTTGAGGTGTCGCAGGTGCCGCAGCGGAATTGGGCCAGGTTATGTGCGAAGCTAGTAGGAATCGCTGGTCTAAAAGCCCAACTGGGAATATATGTTGCAGGCGCTGTCACAGCTGTCTCAAAGTGGGTTGTCATGTGTTTGCTAAGCCTGTTCAAATGCCCCCATTTTCTTGAAGTTCTTTCGAACATTGCTCACAAAAACCAGTTCCCAGGACAGGGTTATACCAGAGAACATAAGTACTCTCCAATATGTAGGGAACCCAACGCAAAGTAAGATGCAGACAAGGAAGCGCGATGCAAACACAGTGCTGTGTGTGTCGCCCTTGATGTGTGTGTGTCCCCATTCCTTGTCCCAGCCTTCTATTGCGTTGTGTTCCCTCCGATATCTAACCAACACACTCAAGCTTCTATGCTAAGTCTTATTCAACGCACTCTTCTGCTGGCTCCCATACTGAATATTGCATGTTGAAGAACTCCACACTGATGTGCTTGGCGGTGGCACGGTTTCAGTTTTCTTCGGTAAGCTTTATAACTGTGTATCCATCAACTGTGTATTGGTGGAAATAAAAACCATTATTATTATTATTAACAGCAATCTGCCTCATATATATTTATTGTAGCCTATCACAAAGGAACAATAAAAACGCAATGGACAGATGGCGAAACCGAAAGAAAAGAAAATGAGTGCGAAAACCTGCCTCATCTAGTTGATGTGACAGGTTCTTGCACGTGTTCAACATCTGTGTTCTGTCTCGGGAATACATTCTTGCCGTGGAAGAGGTGGGAAGATAGGAGGCAGACCTTTAGGCATTTCGGACTACACATAAATAGGTTTCGGTTTTCAAGTTCGATATTCTAGGGAAAGCATAAAAGTTCATGGAAGAAGGGACCTTGCACTCAGCCCATTTTGTGTAAGACTGCACTCGTCTGCTCGACAAGAGATGTGCCTGACCAAAGCATCATGAAGCCAAATGTGTGTTTGTGTGTTGGCAAGTTGGCTCAGGCTGGTTGGGGAGGGCAAAGTATGCAAGCAAAAAGTTTCTTGTAGTAAAGCAGGCTGGCTAATTATACTGGTGAGCAAATTATGTGAGGATGCGAATTGTGCGCGTAAATATGGTATGCACTCTTGTATGTTTCAGCTGTGTTGCTACGGATCCTGCGCGTCCAACTTGGCGTCCGGCAGCAACAAAGAGAGCTTCTGCAGGAAGTGCGACAGCTGAGGCACGAGTTACGGCTCTTGTCCGAGAGTGGATGTTTTATCGACTCTTGACCGGAGCTGTACCGTGCCTCAGCACGCCCAGCCAGCACAGCCCCCTGCTGACCTTCCCCGGCTGCCTGCTGGTACAGTTGGAGAAGTGGAGGCAGCAGAGGCAGCTGTGCAGAGTGAAGCTGTGGCTGCAGCTTTGGTGTGTATTCCTTGGTTTTTAATATGCTTATGTAATATGCAGAAATTTAGTACTGCTTTAAGATACTGTGTTTTGGGAAACTAACTAGTCAGGTAATCTCATGAGCTACTGTACTACAGTCGAATATGAATAATTCGTACTCAAAGAGGACAGAAAATTTGTTCAAATTAAAAGAAGTGAAAAGATGAAAGCTAATGAAGCTGAAGATGAAATGAAGATGAAAGCTAAATGAGCGGAGGGCTCACCATGCAGTGGTGCATGTGCATGGGGAAGTTTTAATCACAAATTACAGGACATCGTCATTAATTAAAGTAATCAATACATGTCTCTACATGTTGGCCTTGCAACGAGTCAACCAGTTTTGCGTGCAGTTTGCAAAGCATTTGTATACTTCGGCTTCAGTATTCTCCTGGCAAAAGAAGTTGCGCGCGGCAATGTTCAGTGCTGTCACTCTTCGAAGACGGCAACTGTATTTCCAGTGTTACCATCTGCGGCTGCAGCCGGAGCGTGGCCAGCACATGATGAGAAAGGAGGAGCGTCTCCACCCGGAGAACAGCAGATCGGCATTCGAGAGAGAACCACTCCGTGGTAGCTTCTTTTTTTTTTCTTTTCATGCGCAGTGTTGAAAGGAGAACGGTCTCTACATAGCGGGAACGAAAAACGGAGAAGCGTGACACCAGCGCGTTGCAGATCGGCATGAGAGAGAGCTAACTCTCTGCGACAGCTTTTTTTCACCTCTTTCTCTTCGTGCGCGGTGTTAAGAGGAGAAGGGTCTCTACGTGGCAGGGACGGAAAAAGCTGAAGCGTGGCACAGGCACGTCGCAGATTGGCATTTGAGAGATGGCAAACGTTCCACCGCAGTCTTTCCTTTCCTTTTCTTCATTTTTTTCTTCAAGCACAGCGGTGAGGTGTCTGAAGTGCCACCGCAGGATCGGGTGGGATGCTGAGCATTTTCGGAGCGTGGTATAGCTTTGATAGGACCACAGCGTCAGTTCAAATTAAGTGTGTTGGAATTAATGAGATTAGACTGTATTTACTACAGTCGACTCCCAGTAATTCGAAGTCGCTTAATTGGAAGTTTCGGTTAATTAGAAATGAGCAAGTGGTCCCATCAGTTTTGCATGCAATCGTATAGAAAAAATGCTCGATAATTCGAAGTTGAAAACCCATAATATTGGTTAATTAGAAGTTTTTTCAATCGACAGTCTCGTCGCGACCGTAATTTTACAGTAAAATGGGGAACTTTTCATATGCCAAAACATCTGCCAGACCGCGCTGGTGTCTTCGCCATCACTACTGTCCGCAGCGCCACAGATCTTGAAGCGGCAATCTTTTTAACGCTGGCGAATCGCATCGGCGGCATCGACTGACTCTTTAGTTGACTTTTGTCGAGACTCGAGTGTGTCACCGCGCCACCCGCGCGCTGTGTTGATTCCACACGTGTTTCCGCGCTTCTGATTTTGAGTGTTGTGGTGGTGATGTACGTTTGATAATGGCAACTCGTGGCCCTTACCGAACGCTAGACCTAGCGACGAAAGTCAAAGTCTTGAAGGAAGTTGACCAGGGAGGCACCGCCAAACAAGACATTGCAAGAAAGTACGGCATTAAGCCTAACACGCTGTCGACTTTCATAAAGAATAAGCGCTCAATATTGGATGCGTTTGAAAGTGAACAATTCAAGACATCGCGGAAGCGGATGCGCACTGGCGCCTACCCCGAGTTGGAGGAAGCACTGCTGATTTGGATCAGAGAGGCACGAAACAACAAACTTCCTCTCAGTGGTGAAGTCGTCACGACAAAAGCGTCATCGCTTGCTGAAATGTTGGGCATCAACGACTTCGCTGCTTCGGATGGGTGGCTTACGCGTTTCAAACATCGCCACGACTTGATTTTTAAAAGCGTGTGTGGGGAGAAGGCGTCAGTCGATGAGGAAACGTGCCTGACATGGAAAGCGGGCAAGCTTCGCGAGTACCTCGAAGAATACCAGCCGGCAGACATTTTTAATGCAGACGAGACTGCGCTTTTTTATCGAGACTGCGCTTTTTTTAGCGCTTTTAAACTAATAAAAGTGCCGTTTTTAGTGCTTTTTGCTTAATTCGAAGTTTTTTGCGGTTCCCATGAACTTCGTATTAACGGGAGTCGACTGTATACAGTAAAAGCTCGTTAATTCGAATTCCACGGGAACGCTGAGCAATTTCGAATTGAACAAAATTCGAAATAATGAAAGTGAGCAAAAAGTGGGTGGATTTAGGGGGTGGGGGCACGAAAAATATTTATTGGCCAGAAAAGTCGGCGATGACCATCTGCTTCTTTTCTCTGAATGCCACAGCTGCGGCTCTCTGTTCCAGCGCGCGGACGCGGCGCAGGGAATGCTCTTCACCCTCTTCAAAACTGAAGAAGAGACGCGCCACATTAAGTGCCTCCATCACCGCAAAAGCTGACCGGCGCACAGGTGCTTCGTCATTTTCGTCTTCCTCACCTTCTGGCTCTTCAGCAACAGGCTGCGCACCGGCTACTTGACCGATAATGTCCTCATCAGTCAGGGCACCACACACCGATGCACCGGTGTCAACTTCAACATAATCGGCAAAACGTACGCCCTGAAGAGTGTTGCGCAATGCCACTGGCATGAGCTCCTCAGCCCCATCCACGTCGACGTCACAACTATCCTGCGCACTTCCAGCTGCAAATCCACTGTGGCGGAAACAGTTTGCGATTGTGGTCGCGGTCACCTGTTCCCATGCGCGCACCAACATGTGCATGGCAGTGAGCAGCGTAATCCCAAAGTCCTTCCTGTCGCCCGCGCACAAAATCATTCTCTCCAGCACGTGACGCCTATAAAAGCACTTGATGTTCCTTATCACACCCTGGTCCATTGGCTGTGGGGCCGCAGTCGTATTTGCTGGAAGGAACACTAACATTGTTGCTCTCAGCTCAACGTCGACTTTGTGCACCGAACAGTTGTCGAGGACAAGAAGAACGCGTCTGCCGCCCAGTTCCATACGGCTGTCGAATTCCAGTAGCCACTTTCCACATCCAGGCTTTCTTGTTTGCGGCGTTCTCCGTCGGCAGTGACCGAATGTTTTTGAAGCACCGTGGCTTGAGTGCTTTGCCAATCACAAAAAAGGGGACCTTTTCCGTACCGGTCATATTTGCGGCGTCCAGAACAGTGACACGCTCTTTGCTGCGCTTGCCGCCGGCACAGCTGTCTCCCTTGTAGGTGGTCGTCTTGTCTGGCTGCAACTTGAAAAATAACGCTGTCTCGTCAGCGTTAAACACATCCTGTGGTGAGTAGCTCTCCAAGTACTGCTGCAGGGTGTCGCTTCTCCAAGCAGCGCATGTTTCGGCGTCCACTTCCTTTGCCTCGCCGGATAACGTGTAGAATACGAGATTGTGCCGCTCCCTGAAACAATGAAACCATCCCTCGGAGGCGACAAAGTCTTCAATGTCCAAGAGCAGGGCGAAATCGGCTGCCTTGGCCATGATGATAGGGCCGCTCGATGCGATACCCTGGGCTCTCATTTCTTTAACCCAGATAATCGAAGCTGACTCCAGTTCCAGGAACTTCGCTGTCCTTAGCCTTTTTCGACTGGCGCCAAAATCCTCGGCTTCATAGGCATTTTCAATGGCTGTCCTGTTGCGTATGTAGGTTGACAACGTGCTTAGAGGTATGCCGTGCTTTCTCGCAAAATGTCCATCTTCTCCTTGACAGTCTTAGTGCAGTAGTTTCCCCGCGACATCTTGCAACTTCGATGCGGAATAAGACGGCTTGACGGCGTGAACGAACAGCGTGCTTGAGGAACAAAGTGACGCTGCCGGGTGCGGCCTAGGACTGCTAGGACTACTCCGCAGACTCCTCAGCGTCCCGTGGGTCCCGCGTATACAAGTGGCGCCAGGCGCTGAGATAGGCGGGAGGGCTAGAAAAAAACAAGTTGCTCCCTGGATTTTGGAGGCCATACTTTGCTCGCCCCTTTGCTCGGAGGCCACTTGAAGCTCGCGAAAAACCGGTCGTGCCACCTATCGTTTGGCCGTAAAAGCTTCCACTAGTGTTTGACAATGATGACGCTCGGCGGCGCGCGCTTCGAATTATCCGTAGAGGCAGCCATTTCTGTTCGAATTAACGAATCGTTTTATACATGGTCTCTTATGCACTGCGTATTGGACTGCGGCGACCATTTTGAATTGTCGAAAATTTCGAATTAATGAGGTGTGAATTAACGAGCTTTCACTGTAGTCTGTGAAGTCCCAGTGAACTGTCCTAAGCTAGCAGACGATGTAGGCGGCATCGTGTGTTTGATGGGCAGTGACTAGTAATAGCCTGCTTAAAACAGACATTCAGTAATTTTGTTTATTTATCACCCTATTTTGTGTCCGCTGCAGCTCTCTCTACTTTGAGCTGCAGTTCACCCTGCCTTGTGTTAGCCGATTTCTTACATTTTTCAAAATCTAACATGCACCCAATTTTGCAGGGTGAATAAAAATGCACCTTTGTTTATTGTGATGAGATTTCTATTGTGACATGCCTCTGTTGGCTATCACAGAAAAATATAAACAGCAAATGGTGCGGCCATCTAGTGCGACCTTTATTTTTCTACCAGTTTCATCTATGACCAAGATTTGGTCGCTCTAAGGTTGCCTCTTAGTACGCCTTGATCATGTTCACTTATCTTGTTGCGCTCTGCTTACAACGCATTGATTAAAACATGTCCAAGCCTCTTTTTGAAGTCCACATATTTAATCGTTTTTTTACCTGTAGAAGCTATTCCTGGTCAACATTCAGGCAAAGACATTGTAACCTCGAAGAAAAGTGTATTGGAATTTGAGCAGTGTACAAAGTAATTATACTATTTCATAGCTAGAATCAATATTTATTAAGGGTTATAACAGTGTTGTATTTGATTTCATAACAGCGAAACTATGCATATCAGAGAAGGACTCTGAAAGGTTCTCACACTGAGTGTGAGAGGGCTGATGTGGAAACTATTTTAGGTCAAGTGAGTTGAAGTTAGCGTAAAAACAATAAAATGTTATGATGCCCGAAAATTCAAGTTGTTGTTTGCAGTTTCCTCTTCTTGCAGATCTTTATCATGAAAACATTTCGATGTGCTGTTGCGTTTACCCCATCTATGCTTCTTGCATTTTTTTTTACAGCGCAAACTGTAAAAAAAGCAGA